AATATTGATGTCGGGACTCTATACTGCAAATCGCCCAGCAAAAAACCGCCAAAACCATGAAAAAAATAATCGAAAGAAAAATTTATTTCCGACCTATCAACCCTAATTTTTTCACGATATGAAACCGGAACCACAAGTATTTTTTTACGCCCTATCATGGTAAACCTCTGACTATAAGCCCCGGGCTTATATTCTTTCATAAGCATTTTTTGATAAGGCTTATACAAGAGGGGGGGTTAATATATTGGGGGGGGGGGGGCTTATACATGGATGATCTTTTGTGTTAGTAATAAACAAGTCAGTCATAAACAGGAAAATAAACATGTATTAATAACACGCTTTGATTAACATTATGATAGTACATGTGGTGGGCTTATACACAGGGGGGGGGGGCTTATATTCGGAGGCTTACGGTATCTATGCAAGTGTCTAGCTAGTTAAGTTGCATTGCGCCATAATTCACCCTATTTTTATATTATTTCACGCTTATTTAACATGTATGGTTAACAGGATTAATAGGTTTGGGAACTTGTTGGAAATACAAGGTTTAGCCCATTGAGTGGCAGCACTCTTCAATCCTCTGATGAAGTAGCACTCATCAGAGTGCATTGCTACTGAGAGGGATAATGCAAAAAATATTTACATCTTTTGCCATCACATGGATGTTGTATTTTTGCCAAGTCAACCAATCATAATGTTTAATTGACTAATTCCTGATGGTGTGGAAGAGATAATCAGTCCAATCATTAGTTGATTGGGAGAAATACGATACACATTACAATGAAGAACCATATTTTTGCGTAAAGCTAGATAAAAGTATGGATATTGAATTACAGTATGTTGTATTATATATTTATTATCATTGAGTTTCCAAACTTTGTATTCTATAGTATGGTGTTAGAATCATCATAATGCATAAATCTTAGCTGGAGAGTTGTGCGAATAGTTGGCAAATAGTCTGAGAATAGTGCAAATAGTCTGACCATGCATCACTATAATGATAATTACGATATATTGCTACTCATGTTTCTACCTTCAATACAATAATCATGATTAAAAATATCACAATCATATTGTTATATCTCCCAACCCTAGTTGAGAGTTTGGGATACAGACACAAATTTTGGCAGGGAAATGAGATTAAATGCCCTTCCCCCCTCCCCCTGTATACGGTTTTTGTACTGTACAATTTACATTCACTCATTCAGTGCAAATCGAATTTATATAATGCATCGAAGGTCTTTTAACAGCTGTGCCAATACAATGAACAAAAATATTAACAGGCAGAGCAACAAATATAGCTTTTAATTAAAACACAATATCAAACCTAGCTAACAGCCTGCAACATCTACACGTCGTATTAAATCTGAGCTACATTGTACTATTGGCCACACAATTTGATACATTAAATTCTTCAAATGTGATGTAGATTTTAATTTTTGAAAACATACATATGCAAAGCATGATAATTTTGTTACTTACGTAAAAATTTGATTGCGATTTCTGGACCAAATCCGGACCAAAACAAGCAATTATAAATATTGTTCTACGAGATTCTCATCTGATGCTCGATGTTTAATATGCGAATGCATGAAAAAGGACAGGAAATTCGTGACCAGCACACGGATCACACGTATGCTAAAATTACTTCCGGGGGACCACACTGGCGGTTTGGCAAATTTCATACACTTCGGAAACTTTTACTATTAAAGTTGATGTTTTTGAAACGAAAATTATCCAGATTGCTCTGACATTTCTGCATTTGCTTTCGTTCTAAGTCTTCTACTAAGTGTCCTAAGTTGTTCATGGCCAAAAAAGGGAAATTATATAGTTTGCTTACTCGAGAATAGTTTATAGGAAATGATCGACCTGAAGCCGGGCATGGTCCAAAGCGTGAGAGTGTGATAAATTAGTAAATTAAGTAAAATAGTCACGCGATCTTCAGGATCTTGCTAGCAAGCAGCAAGTGTCACTCACCAGTCATAAAGTATAGGCAGGGGGGGGGGCTGGAGAAAAAGGGAGGTGGGCCACCGTTTTCATGCTTGCAAAAAGGGGGTGGGCCCTGACTCGTCCCCAGTCGTCTTTAAATGTAAAAGTCAAGGCAATACCAAGAGCGAGTGAGATTTGAGATATTGCGAGACATTTTGCGAGACACACGCCCCTGCGCGCGCCTTCCAATTCGAGCCAATCTCGTTCCCCGAGCCTGCGATCCTCGGGAAGGAACCGAAGGCTCTGGGATAATCCGTTTCAGGGAGAAATCTGATTGGCCATTGATGATTGATATGGAATGCGTAGTTCAATCTTAGCCATGATTCTTGGCTTCCGGTAACGGATTATCCCAGAGCCTTCGATTCCTTCCCGAGGATCGCCATCCTCGTTCCCAGGGAACGAGGATGGAGAATCGCAGGCTCGGGGAACGAGATTGAATTCGAGCGTGCTCACAGACGACTGGGTACGAGTCAGGGCCATTGAACTATAAATAAACTGGAAGGCTAACTCAGGGGGGGGAGGGGATTGAAGCCAGCAGTGCTCTCACTTTTAAGGAATTATCCTTAAAAATAGGAATTTTGAAGCGTTTTAAGAATTTTTTTAAGGAATTTAGGTTTTTGAGGATTTTTTTAAGGAATTTCCGAAACATTTTATCCGGGACTAAAAACGTTGGACGGAGGATAACCACGCCACGCAAATGAGATTTAAACTTGAAAGTAGCAACATTATACGCACATAATTACATATATTTGTATGCTCTCTATGTCATAAATGTAAATATGGCTGTCTTTTCCAGTGGCGGACACTAGGGGGTGGGGCGGGGGGCCTGAGCACCCCCAATTATTTTGAAAGACTGCAGAAATCCTAGTTTTGAAACCCTAGTTTTTGAAACCCTAGTTTTTGAAACCCTAGTTTTTTACAAAATGTGTTCTCAGAACGCTGCAAATGCCATTTCCGGGATTCAAATTTAAAAATTTTTCCGTGCCTTCGGCAGAGCCCCCCCCCCCCGCCGAATATTTCGTAAAGTGTCCGCCACTGGTCTTTTCATTAAAATTCTCAAAAGTTAAATGTCAGTATATGCTGTTTCTTCTGAAATCTACAGATTTTTTAAGCTCTTCATGCAGCAACGATAAAAAATACATCATGTTGAATGTTTTCTTTATGGCATTATGCTAACAATCAAGACCAATCAAATGTTTTCAATTTTTAGTGCTTAGAAACAAGGTTATAAAAACTGAAAAACAGAAAAAAGGAGGCCGAAAAACACTTTTTGCAACTGTGTGATCAGGCCTTGTGGTAATTTTACCAATTTAAGGAATTTTAAGGAAATCTGACGAATTTTCGAGCTTTTTCTAAGGAATTCAAAAATTTGATTGTGAGAGCACTGGAAGCCAGTGCATTTTAGTTTTTCTGAGTTATGAGCAGAAATACTCAACACTGAACGTTGGGCTATATATCAAATTGAAGCTATTGAAAAACGCTATTTGGTGTAGAAATTTCAAGACTTTAGCTAAAAGGGAAATATTAAAAAACTACAAACATAATTACCGATAATTTGCCGTTTTGCAGTTGTTTTTGTATTTTTTAAAGATTTTTCTTTTCGCTGAAGTCTTGAAATTTCCACACCGAATAGCAATTTTCAATAGCTTCAATTTGATATATAGGCCGACGTTTGGGGTCAAGTATTTCTGCTCATAACTCAGAAAAACTATTTTGGCTTCATCAAATCATAGGCCTTCATCATAGCACTTAGCCTTCCAGTTTATTTATAGTTCAATGGTCAGGGCCAGAGAAAATTGTGCACTACATTAGGGGTGGGTCATATGTGAATATGTTTTAGTTTACACTGTTAATTAACCATTAAGCGCCAGCACTCTCTCCTTGACGAGTAAAATCGTCTGGTGTTAGATACAGGATTATTCCGGCTCACATAATGCATGACCAGCCTATACTTATCAACATTGTAGCGATTTATTGCTTCTGAAAGTCAAGCGAGGTTGTATATTCTGATAATATACAATCTCGCTTGACTTTCAAAGGCCGTAAATAATCGCTACAATGTTATCACATTTATACTCAATTGTCTGAACAAAAATATAGACTCACTACAGGGGTAAATTGACCTTTACTGCTTTAGAATAGAATAGATTTCCGAAGTTTCCCGAGTGCTAGGATGTAAACATTGTCATTGCACTGTTTCGACAATTCAATTTGTATTTTCGGTTGAAGCTCTCGCTAAAATCTCCAGTGCAGTGCTCTAACCAACTGAGCTACAGAGGCAAGTTGTTACAGTCGATGCAATGGGAGTGTTGATAAAATATTGCATGAATTCATTTCCTCAAGTTGATCAATTCATACGAATTCAAATTTCTTTTTATTTCCTGTGCGTTTCCTATTGGCCGATCGGTTCTGAAACGAAATAGAATTGGCTTATCTAAAAGTAAGAGGAAGTTGATCAATTTTCTATCAAATGAATTGATCAACTTGAGCAAAGGAATTGGTGCAATATTTTAGCAACACTTCCATTGCATCGACAGTAAGCTCTAACTACAAGTTGATGTACACATCCATCCTACACATGGCAGTAACATCGGTTGTTTACCATTTACATGGAAAACCCACCCGGTTTGAAATTGTCCTAATGGTAAGCGAAATTTCGGATAGAAAATCCCATTCGGATTATGTGCTTTCCATTTAATAATTTCAATTGTTAAATCGAGAGGAGCCTGGAACTGGTGAAAAAATAAAAAAGGTGTAAATGGAACAACATTTACCGGTTGAAACGTTCCAATCGGTAAGAGAGGACAACCTTTTCAAACAAACCGTTCATTCCGGAAAAGTTCCGGTTGTGCCGTCGAAATATACTTGTTCCATTTATTTTCCGTATGGAATCACCGGAATTTCCATGTAAATGGTAAACAACCATATACTACATACGTAAAAATCTTACATCTTGTAACAAGTCTGCCAACAAACCGTCAACAAGATGTATCAGTTGCTCTGCTTGTCACAAGTTGTCAACAGGTTTGGAACAACTTAATTGTTGACAACTTGTAACAACCTTGTCGAAATTCAGACTTGTTGCAAGGTTGTTCTGACAAGTCCGTTACATGCTTGATATAACAAGATTGTCGCAATCTTGTGTTGACAACCTTCGGTAACATCCTTGTTATATCATGGCTGTAACAAACTTACTAAACTTGTTAGCACAGTCTTGTAACAAGGCTGATAATGCCATCAAGCTTGTTACAAGTTGTTAACAGCTTGTTTCAAACTTGTTACAACAAACTTGGAACAAGCAGTGCGAACACAACTTGTTGACAGCTTGTGAACAGACTTGTAACAACTTGTTTGCAGACTTGTTAGAACTTGTGCGTTTTTACGTGCGTACACACGTAAAAATGTCACAACTTGTCAATAAGATGTGTTCGCAACAGGCTTGTAGGAAGCTTGTCAACAGGTTGTACCAACGCCGTTATTTCATCAAGTTGCTACAAGGTTATCACTCGCAACTTGTTGAGTGTTGACAAATTGTTGAACTGCAGGATGTTAACAAGTTGTTGCAAGAACTTGTAACAAGTCTGTTAAACTCAACAACCTTTTAGCAAGTTGTCAACAAGCCGTTGACAACGTCAACGTGTCAACAAGCTGGAAACAAGCAGTGCGAACACATCCTGTTGACAAGTTGTTGGAACAGAATTGCTACAAGTCTGCTGCAAGTTTGCTACAACTTGTGCGTTTTTACGCGTGTAGGATACTGCCATGTGTAGGTTAGGTGTAAATATCAAGATTTTATTGGCGTCTCACTTGATTGAATATTAGTTGAAGGATATTGTAGATGGAATTATCGAGTGGTAAATTTATATACATTTATTAAACCTAACCAGGAACAGAAGCGAAAAATGCAACTTTAGTTCCCTGGTAGGAATCCGGTGCAGCGCTCTAACCAACTGAGCTACCAAGTACAGAGGCCAGTTGTCGAGCTCTAACCACAAATTCATATATTCATGAACTTGTGGTTAGAGTTAAAGGGAAATGGCAATATATTTTTTATTTTCTCATTTGAAAGAACTTTTGAAACTATTTAATAACTTCTTTTACCGATTCTTCATAACTTGCTTAGTTCTTGAAATATTTTCACTTGAAGTAATGAGATGTCAGCCATCTTGGATATATTTTTTATCTCATTAACTGTAGTTTTGGTGACGTCACAACAGGGATTAACCATATAAAAGTATTCGTTGCTGACCAAATATTGATTGGTAGATGTTTTAAAGGTTTCAAGTGATCTTGATATTTCCAAGGGCAGACAGAGTATAATTTTGAGTGCAAAATGACTAGTGGTTGTCTAGATAAAAATATTGCGTGACCGCTGTTGTGACGTAACATGCATATCTACAAAAATCCAAGATGGCGGACATTTCATTTCTTTCGATTAAAATATTTGTAGAAGTAAGCAAGATATGAAAAAACTGTAAAAGAGTTTTCTATACGATTTTAAATGTTCTTTAAAACGAGAAAATAAAAAAATATATTGCCATTTCCCTTTAACTTTCGAAAGTGGAAGCACTGGGTTTTTCAGGAAACGTGAATGCTATTCTGGGTACTGTACGATCTGAATCTCAGACTCAGTCTACGAAAACGATTGGAAAGTTGACCATACATTTATACTTCCAAATTTAAACGAAGGAAGATCCAAGCAGGTAACTTTAACATATTATTTAACGAATAAAACACAGATCTTAGCAGTTGGCAAACATGGAAATTATTTATCGACATACGACTACAGTTTCAGATTCATTTTCATAGTTCAGTAACGGAACAAGCATGACTACAGATTTGGTGGATTGTGGAATTTACTCAGTCTCTTTTCACGGCAGAACTGAAACCTGATCATAAAAGACATCCAACTTTCAGACAGTATTAGCATTTGACAAAACTATTTTCAAGTTTTTAGTGCATAATATGAAGTCTAGCCTGTGCACATCCTGTATTACCCTGTAGTTACAGGATGTGCACAGGCTATATGAAGTCATGCAGGTAAAATCGCAGAAACTACACGACAAAGTCAAAGCCAAAGGCGTGAATTGAATTCTTACTGCGCCATGTTGTTCAATTCGTTGTGGTTTGTCAACTCACAGCAAAAATCCAAATCAGGCCAAAATTATTTTTCGCTGCATGTGTATCGCAAAATACGCGTTCCGCCAATATTCATATTGATATTATATAATTCAACATGTTCCCGTCAATGATGTGAATTTCTACATTGTCATAATGAAACTCATCAAATTCAGCCTATCGCCGCTTTGAATTAATAGCATTGCTTCAATTTCAACGACAACATGTTTGATGTTTCCCTCGCTCATTGATGTTAATTTGAATATTGAACATATGAAATTTGACTATAGATATTGAAGTAATTTTCAACAGCGTAAGTATTGAAGTTTCAAAATAGGTTGAAAACGCACATTCACTACACGAATTTGGGAAGTGAACCTTGGCGGTTGACACGGCATTCTTCGAAATTTAAAACCCCTACTCGGACTTGGACTCGAAGAAAATCCGGACTTGAGAAAAATCCGGACCCGAAAAAGACCCGGACTCGTCTTTGAGAAAACCTGAACTTGACTTTTGTTTTGAAACCGGACTCGAAGTAGAAAAAGCTGGATTAGAAACAAGAACTCTGTACCCGAATGGAAAGGTTTAATAATAAAATAATAATAGCTAACATGATCAACTTGACATGATAAACAATGATCTCTTTATAACAATAATAATCAGTATACAGTATATCTTTAAATAAATTTCTAGAAACTGAACCATCTGGTGTAGTACCGGAAAACTGGTCATGGACCTTTAATGGAAATGGAACGGATTTTGATTAGTATTACAGTCCATAGTAATTGTATATTTCCATATTTTGAAAATAGTATCGAAATACTAGGGACAGGGACGCCGGAACGATATGTGAAGGCAAGGGGGGCAGATTTTCGTGAAAGGGCATTTTTGAATTGATATATACTAAGAGATGTTTACAAAACATCGGGAATTGAACTTCGCCTAATCACATTTTCTATTTATTGGATGATAGCGGTGTGAGGGAGTTCTCTGCCTGTTGATTGTGCTATTCTTGAAGCTCGAGTGACTGCATTTCTTGCGTTCAGTTCTGAAGCAAATTCGTAAAAGAATTGCACTAACATTTCTGATACAAGTTTTATTTGCTCGTCTGTACGTGCAACTTTGTCTTTGACAAGTTTTTCTATGACAAGTGCACTTGTTCAAAAGCTAGCATGCTAGCTTTTGAACAAGTGAACTTGTCATAGAAAAAATTGTCAAAGTACAAATTTTGTTCGTCTGTATGGGTCAACAAAGAAAACATGTCTGAGCATTATCTGAGCATTTGTTGTGATTGGCCAGCGCTCGCGTTGTCCGCTATTACATTGCTGGCCACTAATAAATTAGTATCAAAGTAAACTGGCTTGTGGATACGTTCACACCAGTGAATAAAACTTGTTATATGAAAACTTGTCATATAAAATGTGTTGCATATACACATGCACATGCACTTGGCAAATAAAACTTGTCACATACTACTTGTCATATAGAAAACTTGTCTGTAACCGGCTTTAAGACAGGAATGTACGTCTTGTCTGGAAAGCAACCAGGAGAAGATTGAAACAAAGCATAACATTATTCACAGCTACCGCCCAACCTGGTCAATTTGCCTCGGCAATCTGATTGTTGAAAATGGCGAGGTATATCGGAGAACGCTCTGACCTGCATCCGCGGGAAAAATGCCTCATTGTATTTTACCGAGGCAAACAGTAGTTCAATTAAACACGAATAAGAGAATACGGTGTTGAAAAGCATTTATAATGTGAATTAATAAAGATAGAAACAAGAATGTCCAACAATTTATCTAGCATGGATTTTGATGATCCATGCATAATAATTGTATGGGTCTGAAAATCAGTAAATGGTCGAAATATTTGTATTTTAACAGTAAAAGTGTGGTGTTTTGACGGTAAATCTTTGAAAAGTGTTCTGAAACGACAAACAGTATTTTTTTCTCAATCTTCACGGTAAATTTTTGGTGTTTTCACAACTGGCGGTAACCGAAATTGAGTGTCACGACTCACGATATACCCCATCAACACCCTCTACTGTGGATATAGTATCGAATAGTATAGATAATTAGATATACTATGGATTTAGTGGTTCAATTGTACATTTTCATGACAGTGCGTTATATAATTTTGTGATAGTTGTGGATGAATATTCCAAAGTAAGTGTGTGACGCGTGAGAAGTATATGTTCTCTCAGCTGCCGATTGACATTCGCTTCAGGTTACGGCAAAAGCCGTGTTTCTTGATCTACGACAAAACGACTAACGTTTTTAAGACCTAGTTTTTACACAATTTACCATAGTGTACTAATGAATACCTTTCAGAAATTAGGGAACTACACCCATATTTTTGGCGATACACACCGGATGACAGCGAAAGATTATTTTGCCGATTGCTGAAGACAAACATGGTGCAATTAGAATTCGGCTCGCGTTGGTCGTGTAGTCTGTACTTCACATTATGCATGAGCTAAAGATTAAACTATAGTTTTGTCAAATGCGCAATGTTCTGAAGATGGATGTCTTTTATGATCAAGTTTATTCCGTGAAAAGAGATTCAGATTCAAATCTGAAACTGAAAATGAAACTTAACTGTAGAGCGGATCGCGCGACTGGTATAAGTACAACCATAAGGCTGGTGCGATGCTAGAACTTGGTTTGCTTCATGCATATTATGCATCTTTTTAGACAATTTCGTTTATTTCCTAGACAATTAAGATGTCAGATAACCAAAACACAACCGAAAATGGCGTTGGTGACTTAAAAGAGAATCTGAGAATAATGCCAAAAAACATGTGCCTCTTCTCCCTATCATTGCGATCCCTCTACGCCAACAATGCTGTTGGCACTTCTACCGACGTTGCCCGTAAGTTCAGAAAGCTTCGTGACACAAAAGACAAGATGCCATTCTATATTTGAATTGTCATCTTCCCATCTCCACCAAGTTTGTGTCCTCCATTAAAGAATATTTCGAGTATTATGAAGCTCTCGATTATGAAGAATGGTGTGAAATGTTGCCAGATATACGCAAAGAAACAACGACCTATAAGGAAGTTGCGCAGACGCTGTTGGAAATGCATGAAGAGTTGATGATTTCTTTAAAGAAACGCGAGGATGACGCGAAGATCATCATGACAGTGTTCAAAGGTCTTCAAAGTGAATACGAAAAACAAAAAGAAAAATTGGAAGCCTCGGCACAGTCAAAAATGGGTTGGGCCCATTGGGGGTTATCGTTGTACTTTATTCCTGGCATAAATGTGATTGCATATCATTTGTTTAAATCCCTTGCAAATGAAGATACAGTGAAAGCCATTGCCAAGGGCGCCGAGTCAAAATTAAACGAAGCTGGGGCACTTGTTGTGGCGAATGAATTGATCCCAGCATTGTCCCATTTCATTGATGGTCTGAAAAAAGTTGCAAGATTCTTCCAAATCGTGGAAAAGGAACTGCAATCATTTGAAGGCAAGGCAGGAAAAAACGTCGAATCTCCGGCAAAAAAACTTCATTACAAAGTGATGAGCAAAAAAGCTAAAGAAATTAAATCTCTCTGTCAGGCGTTCTACGCAGTACTAGTTGATAGCCTGCACATCGCAACTGTTTATCTTGGGAAATGCCATCTTTCCATAATTCAACAAATTCGAAGTTTGAATCAGGCCTGCATGAGATTGATTTAGGAGTGCTCAGTGGGGTTTAAAAACTGCAGCATGTTGTGGCGGGGAATTTATTAAATAGATATGCGAGTTTTTAAAACGGAAAGATGGTCTCAGTGAGTTATCGATTAACCTATTCCATTCACAAGCAAAATAGAGATGCAGGACATGCGTTTAAAAAATTTTATTATCACGACAAATATTAGTATTTGCTCCGATATAAATGTTTATCTGTATAAGCAATACACATGTTACCAGCCAACTCGTACCATGATTATTTAAATAATGTTAACTCGGTTAGACTTGCCCCAAATCTTCAGTACTTGGAAACAAATACTCATTATACTTACAAAACAAATCCTCAATACTGGGAAACAAATACTCATTACTTACAAAACAAATCCTCAGCTGTACTTGGAAACAAATCGTCAATACTAGAAAAAATTGTTTTGATTTGGGCCATTGTTTACATATACGGCAACTGACGCTTAGAAACCAGTCACTGCCGCTGAAATCAGTGGCGGAAATTCACTTTTTTTCCGGTGGGGGGGGGGGCGAAGCCTTCTGAATTTCCGACAAAACTTTCAAATTTCCGACAAACCCCCCATTTGCACTAGAAAAGGCTGTTTTTAGCCCTCTTATAGGTTATTCATATTCATATTCCATGAAGGTGGGGGGAGCCCCCCTGCCCCACAGAGATTTCCGCCACTGGCTGAGATCTTGTTGACGATGACACACACTTGGCTGAATCTCAGTGCTTGATAATTAAAACATTGATGTAAAGGATAGCCCATTTACGACAAATTACGATGGCAGAAAAACTCGGGTAACTGTCACATATGATGTAAAGAATAAAACATAGATTTTAGCAGTACGCATATATAGTCACACTATTTTTGCAACATTCAGGTACAGCCATGCATAACGACTGTTAATGGCGTGATGTTATAGCCGTGGATTTATGTTATACATTATGCATCTTTTTGGATGATTTCCTTATATTTTCTTTTCCAGACAAGACGTCAGAGGCAATTATTTTAAACATTGTTGTTATATATATCAACAGCAATCACGTCGTTTTTGTAACGGATTTCCGATTCTTGGAATTAATGTTGCTCCGGCCGTATAATTCATTCAACAGATTAATTCAACACGGAAAAATATCCAGAGTGTGATACAATGTGAAATACATGGAAAACCAGTACAGATCCTTGAAAATTTAATAAATTGTAAATAGGTCACTCGGTGAAAGCTGTAGACTGCCATTTTAAAACTGAACTGAATAGGTCACTGCAGGCATTAAAATACGGAATTTTTACAAGGACACACTTTGCCTTCAGAGGCGTATTTTTGGTATAAATGGCGAAGCCACAAGTTTAGCGTCAAAGACGCGAGCTTTTACGGGGGGTCGCTGAAATGGCATTTCCAGAGTTCTGAGAACAGAATTTGCAAAATCTTTGGACATTTTGCGTGGATTACATTAATATATTTTCAGTTTAATATATTTTCAAGTGCACACTTTTCAATTTACAAGGGCACATTCGCCTTTTACAAGGACACAAAGTCGGTGTACCCTGACACGCTATTTTAATGCCTGAGTCACTGGAGCACTGATATAGTGTGTGATTGTTCAAACGAAAAAGTTCCACGAATCATGACATGCATCTTCCATGAAGTATACAAATACGGACTTGTTAGGAAAATATATTAAAGTCGAGTTAATGAGTGAGTGAATGGCATCATTGAAATGGCATCATCAATTTTATTATGCGTTTTCCAAGTGAAATGCGTCAAAGCTGAACTGATCGGCCATATCACACATTATCCAACTCACTCCCCATCGGGGCTTTTCAGTGACCGATTACATCAAGTATTAGGCATACTAGTATATTACCTACGTTTATATCCTTACGTACAATTGCGATAATACTTTCCTAACTAACTATGTTTATCCTAACCCGCCCTGTTAACTTTCCAGTATTGAATCATCATTGTTACCATAGCAACAGCAGTGACGTAATTTTTGTGACCGAATTCCGAGTGTTGCTGATAATATATGACCAATCTCGTTCCCCGAGCCTGCGATCCTCGAGAAGGAACGTGAGGTTGTGGGATAATCCGTTTCAAGGAGGAATCTGATTGGCCGTTGAAATGGAATGCGTAGTTCAATCTTAGCCAGGATTCCTGGCTTCCGGCAACGGATTATCCCAGAGCTTCGCGTTCCTTCCCGAGGATCGCAGGCTCGGGGAACGAGATTGATATATGACGACAATAGTAACCCGATGATGTCACACAATCCGGTGATGGATACACATATTCAACATGGCGGAATGTACAAGTAATATTTCTAATAAAGTGGGATATTTGAGCTGCATGTACAAAGGTTCTGAATACTGTATATTTCATTGCTATTTCCATAAGTCTATAGTTCACTTTTGATTAACTGCATGAGATCTTAAATTCTAGAAGAGGTTTCAAAATGGTTTTGTAGAACTCTGAATAATTTAGCTTATTTATTTTCAACGATAAAAGAAATATTGCGGGATTCAGGCTCTCAAGAGCAGCTGGATACAAAATGATAAAAATCTGAGAAAAAGTGGAAATTATTGAAGGTCTGAGTACGAGATTTAGGCTACGAGTTTACACTATGCCGTATATAGCTTTCCGTAGCGACGTGAAAAGCATCTGTCCGTACCTAGTTTTAGGAACGCTATTTTCAGAGGAATTATCACAACCGAGACTGATGTTGTTTCGCCTGGCTTCTGAAAGTTGTACATTCCGTATCGGATAGGTACTTTTCGCGCCGCTACGGAAACTGGCTGTCCGGCCGGTGGTGTATAAAGGTAGCCTTAGGTCGGGCTATTCTAGAACACTGCCGAAACCTTTTATATTAAAAAACGATTAAAAATTATTCCCAAAATTATACCACAACACTTTTTTTAGATGCATTAAAATTTGAGGTTGAATAATATATTATATTCGTTCCCTAGTTTCATTTATTTTTTACTTTCTCAGTTCAAGCCTGTCAATGTACGCCAATTCTATTTCACACTGGCTGCTCGTATTGCACAAACGCAGTTTTTTTTCTTCCCCCGTGTCGTGGGAGGATGCAGTTATTTGATTAAACTTCCTAAGTTGCCGTAAAAGTCGCGGTTTAATAACAATTTTAATGATTCATCATCTATAGCTGGCCTTTACAGTGTCAATGACAGGTGACTTGCGGTTTAGGACTGTTAAAACACCCGGTGACTGGCAGGCAATCGCCATACGCGTGCAGAGAAGAGACATTAATTGGACGACTTTTAGTCTGGGAAACGTCAAGCTTCATGCATACTGTTTACAAGCAGAACTGCTACAGACGAAAACCTCTTGAAACGCTACCGGACAAGCACTAAAGCTGTTTTCGATTTCAAGTTTTGTAGGCGGTTCTGTGGAGTACTTTGTTGTGTGAACTTGACACTACATATGTCTGTGATGCAAATGCATGCTCTTCAATTAACGGATCCAGGTTAAAGTCGAGTAGGCAAACGCCTTCGTTAATATACATGCTGCTTTGGCTGCTGATAACATACGGTGGAGAAGCTATTTGATTGAAGAGTTCATTTGGCATTCTTCGCCCTACGAACTTCCTGCGTACGAAGCTGTGCCATTGTACTTGGCCTACTTGCGGCGGAAATGAGAATTGAAGAAACTAACAACAGGTTCTGAGCGAATCTTGATACGTACAGCATATACATAAAGGAAGGACGTACAAGCTCTGTATTGGCCTCCTGCGATTAAAAACCTCCTCCTGCCCAACGACCCAACACCTGGCTATCACATCTCGAATATACGTATATATACAAAGTATCAAGTTTGCAGACCCCGCAAACTTACACCCTAAAACCGAGGTGTAATCTTCAGTTGCCTCAATCATTGGCGATATGCAGCTTACACAAGCGCTGACGAGCGACGATGGCGTTGCTATCTCGCCTTCTCATTCCATTTCACGAACTTCAGCGGTGTTGGAAGGATCGGAAAAGCAGCGAACACGCGACACATGGGACAATAAAGTTCAATTCCTGCTCGCTACGATTGGATTCGCAGTCGGCCTTGGCAATATTTGGAGATTCCCCGGTCTTTGCTACAAAAATGGAGGAGGTATGTTTGATTTACATTTCTTTATGGGCCGATTTCATGGAGAGTTCTCAGCCCGGGACGAAATTGCTTAATACAATTACATGGCAAATTTCAGCCAGGATGCTGCGGACTATAGGCCGTCCATGCACATTCCGGCACGGTTTGAAATTGCTTTTCCGACCGATTTTTTAAACGCTTTAAAATGCCAATCATGTCAACTGATGGATCTTTATGAGACTATGATCCCATATAAATGTGGCACAAACAGAAGGCAATTTTTTCAGCGCGGGCTGAATGCTTGCTAAACACTGTACTCAAGTCAGGCCGAATGTCAGGCCGTATTCTGCACAAGATCTTCCCAATAATATAACGGGAAGTTTCAAGTATGTTTTTTACTTCCCGCTTACAAATATATGTATAGACGGTTCAGCGTCCCAATGAATTGCAAAATACTGTAAAGTGCTTTATATTCATTTATTGTAGCCTCAGCCAATGCATGATGTAAAAGATTTTGTAAGACACGTCACCCAAAATCTACTCAAAGCCAATGACATCACAGGGATTTCACATTGTATGAATTTCGGTTCGGATTCGTTTTCGATCCAGCATTAATTAAGATTGCCTTATGGTTACATTTTTCGATTCGTTCACAATTTATGGCACATATTTAATTTGGTCAGATCGAGCCCATATATTACCGCATTAGTCTTTTGGCTAATTTGCCTCGATTTAGTTAGGAGACAAGTTTATATAAACCGCATCTAAATAGATTCTTTGGTTATAGTCGATTATATAGTTATATGGGCATGCGGCTAAGATTAATATACATTTAAATTTCCTATCGATTGTTTCTGATCAGTTTATTAAGATTCTTGGCGAGTTTTCATGGTTTGAATTTTAATGAATTTTATGATTTGAATCTTTCCGTGTCATAATGTACATGAAACATATATAAAATTGATCATTCTAACATCCTGAAATTGTACATGCGAGGGTCGATCGTAGTTATCGAATTTTCTGCATATCTATTTTCTGCCGCCCTTTTTTCAGCTGTCAAATTATTTCAGAAAACAAATCGAAGGTATAAGTTCATTTAATCACAATTCTACCTCGTGCCGGTATAACCCGTGATCATTAATAGTTTCAGACCATGCACACAGCATTTATAAATCATTCACGATGTTCAAAAGTTATAACAAATTCCGCAGTTACGCGCAATATGGTTGCCAATTTTGAAAAAAATCTTGACTTGCTTTATATTCCCTTCGCCCTTCGGAGCGCAACTTTAAGAGAGGAACGGCACAAAAAATGGATTTCGCTTTTAATGAGACACAATTCAATGCTCTTTAATTCTACGCTGGGTGCCATACAAGTTTAAAACAAACAGGCCGGAGCACTTTAGATCGTAGCCGAGTTTGGACAAATACATTGACAATGGCCCCTACTGTTAAAAATGAGAAAAATGTTGAAGTGATTATGTGTAAATAATTCTAATGTCGACACAAGCCGTTTGGAAATCCACATGAGGCTGATGAATTAATACGGCTATATAGTTTATTTACATGCTAGAATGTTTATTTGCACAAGTTCAAAACTCTCTAGATTTAATACAGGGAGTCTCCCAACACCCATATTATGTTTCACCCCGTCATCACAATCTTCCAATTTGTACTTTGAACTCCCCAACGTTTTCAACATACCTTTGCTTACATTAAGGCATTAAAAGGAGCATCTTTTGTATGTTGGTATAACACGCGATCAAAAATAATTCCACTTGATTGTCTATATTCATTTTTTAAATTTTTGAGTGCTTTATCTGTAAAGTGATGCTAAATGATGGTACGCCAATGAGAAAATGATGCTTGAAGTTCAGTAAGTTTTGCTTATATTGCATGCTGTATAAATATGACGTCAATTTTACAGCATCGATGACAATGATAAATGTATTCAAATTGCCAATATTTAACTATTATTTTGTGTTTCTCAACCGCCAGCCATTTAAAAAGGTTGCTAACTGTGTTAACTACAAAATATAGCTAAAGTAATTTTGAAAGGAACGCCAAAAAGATCAGTTAGATTTTCATCGCAAATGCGATTTTAAGAAAACAAGAGCAGAGCCTGGAAACGAGGCAGAAAAATTCAACATGGCGGCAGATATCAGCGAAGAAAATTTTCACTTTTTTGACGAGTTTTTGTGCATTTTAATTGAAAATCGTATGTGAATATAACAATTTATTTAAGTAAAGGAGCACATAGACTGAGATATTTTTCCTCATATAAGCAATAAAAACAATGCCTAACCGGCGCAGCCCTGAATGCAAAGCCACAGGTGTTATCGAAGCGTGTAATTTTTTCATGTAACAAAATTCCAGCAACATTCTAGCAACTTAATTAATAATAACATTAATAACATGCAAAGCATTGACGATTAATGCTACATGTAAAATTCTTAGCCGGAGTTGCAACGAGTCTGGTTTGATCGTGCGATAAATTACCATGTATTTGTGGTAAAACACAAACCGGTACCCGTTGATACTGTAAGTGATTTTTGTTCTATCTAAACGATTTACCGCGATAACTGATTTTCTTAAGTTTGTTGATACAACTTAGACACGCAAATGGCGCCGATGTTTGATCAGCTATTCCAAAATAATCTATATCACAAAACATTTATTTGAAACCCTTTTTAATTGTTGCAATTGTTTTTAACTGGCAGCGAACTGCCAGTCCCAGTTATATGATAATCTTTGACGATGGGAATTTTATCGTCTTATCACGGTAGAGATGAGCAAAATCACAAACATGAATTGCCGATTATTGAGGCTGGTTATTTAAAAGCTATGGCAAATAATAGGCCGATTAACTATAGGAATAGAGTCTGCGTGCATTCCATGAATGACATCGTCATCTTTTGCTATAGTCACCAGTTAGTATAAGACTATACAGACCCGTCATCTCTCCCAGTGCTGTCGTGGGACTCCTGGTTTTGACCTTTTTCTCACGATCTCCCGTTATCGTGGTGTTTTCTCACTGTTGCACGCTTCAATCAGTTAGTAAGTAGTTGAATATTTAACCAGATTCAAATATCTGGCCCGAAACAGTATATAATCGCTAATCGATGTTAACAATATGGATCTCGAAAACTAGCTATATAGTTTGTATGCCAGCCATGTTAGTATTAAAGAAGATTACTTGTTGAAGAGAATCAGCAATAATGATTATAAAGATAAAATAATTTTACTGCTATTGAACACTGCATATACGACTCTAATTTTGCTCTTCCAGTTTTTGACAGAATTTCGCGGTTTTTTAAAGGCTGAAAAGAGAAATTAAATTTTGACAGGTCTGCATGTATAGATGATGGCTATATAAGCGCGGCGTAGGTTAAATTATTTTATTTCGACATCCCCCCTTTTTTTAAGTGACAGAAAGCAGCTGTTTATTAAATCATTAAGAATAATCTGCAACAGTATAATACCGCGTGTTTTTTGCGGTAACTAAAACAAACTTCCCAATGGCAATGCGGTATATAAACAACAGAGTTCCAGAATATTCGATAGCAACTTTCCCAACTTGTTAAGGGTCAACGTAAGTTTTGCGGGACACGGTATTACGTTTATTTTGATAGGGGAAACGGGACAAGTAGATGAAAAACGGAGGAAATGTGGGATCTTATAAAAGTCGCGGGACACCGGATGAGAAAGTCGGTTAAAAACTGAAAATTTGAAGACGAAATTTGCGATTAAAGAACCCTATTGCGCACACTCCTTGTAGACTGTAGTTACACGTAAATACACCTGGCGTTTTGCGCTTTTGTTCACAAGCAAGAGGTGATCAGAAACTGTTTGAAAGGCACAATGTGTAAACCAGCCGGCTATCATAACCTGTGTGTACTAATCATAAATTATTTCTTTGTGAGAAAACGACCAGGGCACAGCAGTTGTTTGGAATACGAAATAACAAACTGAATTGTTATTATACACATGACTTTGGGCTTTTTTGAAAACGGCAAACAGGTTCATCAATTTCGAACGGTCGTGCCAGTCTAGGTATTACCAATAATAATAAAGCTTCGCATTGAAAGGGTACAACTTTTTACTGCGGAAAAATACAAGGCGAACTTCGACGTTTCGAGCGAAGGAAACTAAACTTCCCGACGGGTCTTCACGGCGAAGGGCGGTCAAGGGCCTTCGTCGTCGGCGAATCGTGTGCTTGATTTACACAGTACAACTCAAGTTATAAGCAAGTTGCATGTTTTAGGCAAAGGTTGCGCAGTGTAAATTTGACCTTTAAAAGGATCACGCTCACTGGGCCGCTAGGAAGAACAGTTTAGAATCTATAGAGCTATATATCGGTTGTTGTTTTGCCGGCACGTGACAGGCGTTGACCAACCCCCGTTTATTACTTGACACATAGCTGTAAATTGACATTTCTTCAGCTTTTATTGATTTCGGTGAGAGAATAGCACGTTTTACATAACAATGGCACATGTCAAACGCAAGATCCCGTAGCGTAGGTAGTATTCGTACTATATCCTGTAAAAACAGCCGTCAGCTGAGGTTTTGATGGGTAATATTTGAAAAACATTAAGAAACGGTTTCGAGCAATGGACCTTTCCCCTTATAACTAAAATTTTGATCTAGATATGCCTGGACAAAAATTTCATCACAGCTTGAAAGAGCATCACAAAATTAGTAATATTCCGAAGTTTCGTTGCGAAATGTTGTGAAATGCGGATAATATAGCCTTGCGAACTGATTTGCAATTTTCAATCATTTTGTATTACAAATGGGAAATTGATGCCCCAACACCCGATTGGGCTGTCAATTTCCCATGCGTAATACAAAATGACTGAAAAACGGCAAACGTCGCAAGGCTATATTATCCGCATTTTATAACATTTCGCAACGAAACCTTGGAATATTACTAATTTTGTGATGCTCTTTCAAACTGTGATGAAATTTTTGTCTAGATCAAAATTTTAGTTATAAGGGGAAAGGTCCATTGATATTGTCACTATATAAAAGCCCTACCTTGAAATCTTCAAGATTCCTAAACCCTAATATTTTCGAATGGTTCATACCAAAACCGCGACAATTTACGTACAGCTTTTATTTTGTCAAAACAAAACACCAAATGTGACCACATATGGAGTACTAGTTTGCAGGGTGCTTTGAAATGTTCAATGCACAGAAACTCAAGTTCACTGTTATCATCTGCAAAACATGATTTCACAATTCCTTTCCGGCATTATACTTTGGAGTTATAGGGTGTAAGTCGATCTTATCGTTTAAATGCGTTGGTGTTTTGTTCAAAACTTAATGATATGGTTTCCCTTTCTTAAATTGTGTTATAGCTCAGCATGGAATATACCTCAAAAGTGGTGGTTTAGATAATCGCGATAAGATTATCACTATCGAATGATTAATGTAATTTTTTTCTCGCGATCACATCAAATATGATACAGCTTATAGGAATCTTTAATCTAATACACCTAATTAACTTACACTATATACTATAGGAGAAATAGGAATTGGGTGTCTTTAAGATCCGTTTGCCAAATACGATTTAAATAATTCACAATTATTGAATGAGGTCAAGCATGATATGAAGAAATGTCAAGGCAAATGTTCTACGAAGCTATATCTTCCAAATCACCATCATTGGTATTTTGAAAAGCTGGCCTTTTTCTCTTAACGCGATGTTGCATAATCATTTTCCTGTACTGTAGTGTATATGCTATCGTGTGGTATCCCGGCCATATCTAGTAATAGCTACATAGGGGATATTACACGGCGGCGCGAAGATAATACTTTTATCTTCGAGTGGTGAAAACAATATTTTGCGAACGAGCGCAGCGAGTAAAATATTGTTTTTAACACGAGAAGATAAAAATCATATATATATATATATATATATATATATATATATATATATATATATATATATATATATATATATATATATATATATATATATATATATATATATATATATATATATATATATATATATATATATATATATATATATATATAAAGGTTGCCACAACAGCCTGTTTCACATCCACGAGAAATTACCAAACCACACTCGTATATGATTCCTCTTGAATGAAACAGTACCACAATAGCCTGTGGCAACTTTTTGAGGTAAACGCCTTGCAAGATGCTAAGAAACATGTGGGTACAGTGCTAGCTGCACCGGAAATCGCAGGGCCGGTAGTTGCATTTTTATCTCACGGATGTTGCGAAACAACATTTGTGTGTCTTTATGGTTACTTGAGTGTGCATGGGGCAGTTAAACAATGAGAAATGACTAGTCTGCTTTGCGCGCACTGTTTGCCTTCGAATCGGGCCTTTCAGAACCGGAAATCGGGCTGGAGCAGGCGTTCGTTCTTTGATTTGGAAAAAAGGTGCCCGTTTGCAAAAGCTAATTCTTTCTGTCAGTTTCATTTGATCTCATCCGTGAGTCGGCCTCAACGGCCTTTGATTCGCAACTGCTCCTGTTAGATCTAAATACATTTACATAATATACGCTCGAACATTTTGCACCATTTACAAATCCTTGTACTTTAATTTGCTGGGATCTTGTCCTGGAGAGCAACTGCATGCAACCCCTAACTCCTAGCACGCAAAGAGTCTAATGCACCTATATTCCCTAATGAACAAAATGTTGATCTAGACAAAAATTTCATCACAGCTTGAAAGGGCATTACAAAATTAGTAATATTCCGAAGTTTCGTTGCGAAATGTTGCGAAGTTTGCCGTTTTTCAGTCATTTTGTATTACGCGCACGGGAAATTGATACCGCTTTCTGAAAAAAGGTATCAATTTCCCGCGCGTAATACAAAATGACTGAAAAACGGCAAACTTCGCAGGACTATATTATCCGCATTTTACAACATTTCGCAACGAAACTTCGGAATATTACTAATTTTGTGATGCTCTTTCAAGCTGTGATGAAATGTTTGTCTGGACTTGTCTAGATCAAAATTTTGTTCATTAGGGAATATATAGGTCCATTAGAATAGCTCGTGGTTTTTGGTTTAAAATATGACATATTATTTTAGGGGCGTTTCTCTTACCCTACGTCGTAATGTTAATTATCGAAGGCATTCCGTTACTTTACCTTGAACTTAGCGTCGGACAGCGGTTGAAGAAGGGTTCTCTTGTTGCTTGGAGCATGATTTCACCGTACATGGGAGGCGTCGGCCTGGCCTCTGTGGTAATTTGCATATTCACCGGCAGTTATTACAGCATTGTCATAGCCTGGTGCCTATACTATCTCTTCAGCTCGTTCAGAAGCGCCTTGCCTTGGTCAAAATGTCCGACCAAGGAATTTTTTAATTTTACTTCGAATCGAAGTTTTGAGATTCCCGTTCCGGAGTGCGAAAGTAGCAGTTCGATTTCGTATTTTTTCTACCGCGAGACTTTGAACGTATCAGAGAGCATCGACGAAACGACAACTTGGAATTGGAAAATAACTCTGTGTTATATCACAGCATGGATTGTCATTTATGTTTGTGTCATCAGAGGAATAAAATCGTCAGGAAAGGTAAGTTACCACATGGATCACACAGCGATTTTGCGATTGGGGGGTGGGACTGGTGTTGAAGTAATTTCCTAGGGGGTTTGGGAGCATGCAATTTCCTGAACCAAGCACGAAAGGGCATATGCGGTCCCTTTATCACGTAAAAAAGTTGCAACAAGGTTGTTGTCAAGCCGATATCAGGATGTGTTCGCACTGCTTGTTCCCAATTGTTGTGACAAGTCTGGAACAAGTTGTTATGTGACAAGTCTGGAACAAGTTGTTATCACCTTGTTACGCGAAGTTGATGTCTTGATGACGGTAACAAACTTGCTAATACATGTACAGGCTGTTGGCAACAATTTGCTACGAGCTTGTTGTCATCAACTTGTTAACAGCTTGTTACGTGCAGTTAAGATATCAGACTTGTTGGAACAACTTGTTGCGTGTCTGTTGATCTCATCAACCTTGTTACAAGATGATAACAACGTTATCATGATAACAACGTTATGATAAGACTTGTCAACAACTGCAGGGAAAAAGAAATTTTAACACATCTTGTTGACAAGCTGCGAGATTTTTACGCGTGTACCAAAGGGGTTAGGGTAAAACGCTGATACGGACGGACGGACGGACGGACGGATGACCTATTTTTCTCTAAAATATGTTTTAAACATCATATCCGCGTTTTACCCGATCGGGTAAAACGCGGATATGGTGCAAAATATACTTTTCGGCTCTTTCAAAGGCATATCCGCGTTTTACCCGATCGGGTAAAACGCGGATATGGTGTAAAATATACTTTTCGGCTCATTAAAAGGCATATCCGCGTTTTAACCGATCGGGTAAAACGCGGATATGGTGAAAAATATACTTTTCGGCTCTTTAAAATGCATATCCGCGTTTTGCACCATATCCGGGTTTTACCCGATCGGGTAAAACGCGGATATGATGTTTAAAACATATTTTAGAGAAAAATAGGTCATCCGTCCGTCCGTCCGTCCGTATCAGCGTTTTACCCTAACCCTGTACCAAAGCCTTTACTCGTAAATATTTCAATTAATCTGTCAAGAGAATGAAATCATTTATCTGCTCTTTTTCAGGTCGTATATTTTACTGCAACATTTCCCTACATTGTGCTCACAGCATTCTTTATACGTGGATTGACGTTGGAAGGTTTTGACAGAGGAGTGAAACATCTATTTACACCACAGGTTAGCGGCTATTACAGAGTAGATATCTTTTAAGGACCTCCGAAAGGGGGGGGGGGCAGAGGCAGTTTTGAGTTTTCCCCGGGCCCCCAAAGCAACCAAGGCCCTTACAATTTCTTGATTCAAGATTGCTGAGCTGAGAATATAAATCCTAGCTGCGTTTCTGCCGGATAATATGCAATGAAGTGTAATGTATTGTAAAACACCGCTTCTCCCATTTTACAAAGTTTTCTTCCAAATAGGAGAAAGCGGGCTGTCAAGGCTTGTCCAAACTAATGCGCGAGATATATGGAATTGAGAGTGTATTTATAACTTTAACTAATTAACTTTTAAATTTTAATATTTTACTGTAACATATTAACTATATGATTTTAAATCTCGATCTCAGAAAATCAGATTGATTTTCATCTCATTTTTGCATGTGATTTTATCATGTTGTTGGGCAGTCTGGTACACTGGTCAACCATTCAATTGACGAATATTAGCTACGAAATCCTTCCATTTGAATTGTTTTCTGTGTGTGTTGTGATTTAACGGATGTTTGTGATCAAACAATTTGGACCGTGAATGATGCGCACGACAATATGACATGTACAAGAGTCATGGCGCCAGTGATCTGCAAACATGTCAGAAAATTGCCATTTTCTTGAGTATCTATGACATATACTTTTTTAATGTTTGCATTCATGCATTACGGCGATTTGGCAGGAGTAACGTCACAACAGCTAGGGTCACGCAATATTTTTATCCAGACAAACCAAAATCATTTTGCACTCAAAACTATACTCTGTCTGCCCTTCGAATCACTCAAAACCTTTCAAACATCGACCAATCAATATTTGGTCAGCAATGAATACTTTTATATGGTTTATTCCTGTTGTGACGTCACCAAAACTACCGTTAATGAGGTCAAAAATATATCCAAGATGGTGGACATCTCATTACTTCAAGTGAAAATATTTCAAGATCTAAGCAAGATATGAAAAATCGGTGAAGGAAGTCAATATATAGTTTCAAACGTTCTTTCAAATGAGAAAATAAAAATTTATATTGCCATTTTCCTTCATAACTACTAAATTAAGAATTCTCTATTCTCGATAGTGGGACAAACTGGCAGACCCTCTCATCTGGATGGAAGCAGCCTCGCAAATCTTCTATTCCACTGGCCTGGCGTTTGGCTGTATCCTTGCGTTTGCGAGTTATAATCCTACGCATCAGAACACGTTGAAAGACGCAATCACGATCTCACTTGTCAATTCGGGGACATCGCTGTTTGCGTCCATTGTCGTTTTTTCTATTTTGGGTTTTAGGTATGTAATATTTCCAATCCGACTATCGGACTGGACTCGATTTCAATTCCGCGCAATTTGATCACGTCCGAGGCGAAGCCGAAGACTCGATCAACATACGAGGACTTGAAATCTAGTCCAGTCCGAATTGTAGGGTTTGAAATGACAACTCATACGAATAAATCACGACTTAAAGCAGGGACGCCGGAACTGGGGGCAGGAGGGGCAGCCGCCCCCGTTGCCCTAATTCAGGAGGGTGAAAGGTGCCCTTTCAATTTAATGGATTGCCTTGGCGAAATAGCGAATTGTCAGAAATGTTAGTGCAATTCTTTTACGAATTTGCTTCAGAAAACGCAAGAAATGCAGTCATTGAGCTTCAAGAATAGCACAATCGCCTGGCGGAAAACCCCCTCACACCCCAATCATCCGATAAATAGAAAACATGATCAGGCGAAGTTCAACTTCCGATGTTTTGCAAACATCTCTTAGTATATATCAATTCAAAAGTACCCTTTCACGAAAATCTGCCCCCCTTGCCTTCACATCGTTCCGGCGTCCCTGACTTAAAGTGAGTTGAATTAATTTTGATCCATGAGTCCAAGGACTGAATTAATTTTGATCCAGTCCTAGGATTGGATCAATATACTTCACCAGATATCCAGTGTTGATGTATTATCATGTGAGCAAAATAAAGCAATATGGTTGGCTAAGTTTACTCGTGAATTATTAATGATTTGAGATATATTATTAGCGTTGTATTAAATCAAATAATGATTGAATCATGATTAAATCATGAAAAAATCAATGAAAGGGCGTAACAAAAGGGGTAGAGAAGACACTGAGAATATATACATTTTCAACGATCTAGAGACTCCAAATTTTCAAACGCTCGGCGCCAACTATATAGTGGTCCCCCAGCCCTAAATTTATGAAGCTTCCTTCGTACGATTTCATACAACATGAGCGGTCATGTTGTATCGGATATACAATATACTTTGTATATCTGATACAACAAGGACGCGAATGTTGTAAATGGCTTGCGAAACGTCTTGATGAGAATATTCGTATTTATATTAAAATAAATGAATGATATTTGGCGAGAAAATTGAACTTAAAGTTTATGTAAATCAGCATGACTTTGTATCAGATATACAAACTCCTTCACGCTCATGATTTCTTTTGTGTTTTCTTGATGAATTATTAATAAGTTTTACAGATATACGATATAATTTACTGCATCTGTTTCTTTGTACATATAGAGCTACAGTGAATGTGCGACAATGCGAAGAAGCAAATATAGGAAAAAATAACACCGCAACCTGCGATTTTGATGAATACTTACAAAGGGTAAATATTCAGACTCTCATTTTCATAGATTTAATCAATATTTATATATTAATGTGTAATTGTGACATTTACACCAACATGCCCCCAAAAAGACCCTGGGACGAGGATGACATGCCCCTTGGTTTTAATTTGTTGAGTTGGTCCCTGGAGAATGAGTGCAAACGCTCTATTAAGACAGTTTATTAATGAGCTAAGATAGCCGTACAAAGGGAGAAATCAATACGTTTGATCCCTCTTATGCTTGCCTCGTGGTATGGACCAGCTCTAAAACACGCCTTTCTCTATCTACAGGCTGCCTTAGGTCCTGGTTTAGTATTTATCGCATTCTCAGATGCCATTCGCAGTATGCCTGCCGCACCAGTCTGGTCAGTATTGTTCTTTCTCATGTGTCTGACGCTGGGCATAGACAGTTTGTTTGGAGGGTTGGAGAGTGTGGCTGCCTCGTTGGCTGACTTGAAGAGATTATCCAAAGTCAGGATTGAGTATATATCAGGTACGTTTAACCAGGGTCTCCCAGAGGGGGGGGGGGGAAGGGGGCAATTTGTCCAGGGCCCCCAGTTAAAGGGGCCCCAAAATTTGCAAAAGAAGGGCCACAAAAGGTGTAATTGAAAAAAAATTTATTTGTGAGAAAATGTTGTTTGTTAGACCTTAAGGCCATGTTACACGGTGCAATTTTTCTTGCAACTTGCAATGCAATTCTACTCTTGAGAGATGTTAATTAGTGAAATCAGTGAAGAATTTTCGATATGTTGAGAAAACATCAGCGGAGTGCAATGAAGACTCGTATTTGACAATTTTACATCTCTCAAAAGTAGAATTGCATTGCAAGTTGCAAGAAAAATTGCACCGTGTAACATGGCCTTTAATTTTACTGATGTTGGTCCGAAAAAATGTGTGTTTTACCCGTGTTTTTACAGGTGTTTGTCCGGAAAAATTTTTCGAACCTTTTTCTAATTGAATGAAAAAAAAAATTAACTCCCCTCTCCGTTTACTTTTACATGATTGCAGTAAAACGTACTTTGTCAATTTCATCCTAGGGGCTATATGCATGACATGTTTCTTACTGGGATTGTCAATGGTGCAGGATTCTGGTAGTTATGTCGTACAGTTATTTGACAAATTTTCAGCCAACATGTCACTGCTTGTTATTGCCATATGTGAATTCGTCTCTGTCACATGGTTTTATGGTATTAGAAGGTACGTGAGAGTATAAAGGACTAGTTTATAAGGTCATTACCCACGGCTGGCAGGCACCAAAACATTGACTGGATGTAAATCCATCAGTCATTCACATTTACGGTTGTTGCATGATGAAACCTTTTTTAATTTTTTTTTATTTATTTAAAAAAAACATTTTTATCTTATTTTTTTTCATTTTGCTTTTTTTCATTTGACGAGGTTGAAAAATAGTTATAACCACAAAAAGCCATTTTTAGGCCGCCTAATGTTGTTAGATCAAAAACTGACATTTTTGTAGAACGTTAATGTACTTCTGTGAGGGTCCTGAAGGGGTG